CTGAAAAAATTTATTTCCTTACCAAATATTATCATATGGGACTCTAATGTCTCTTCTGAGACCTGAAAAAATTTATTTCCTTACCAAATATTATCATATGGGACTTTAATGTCTCTTCTGAGACTTGAAAAAATTTATTTCCTTACCAAATATTATCATATGGGACTCTAATGTCTCTTCTGAGACCTGAAAAAATTTATTTCCTTACCAAATATTATCATATGGGACTCTAATGTCTCTTCTGAGACCTGAAAAAATTTATTTCCTTACCAAATATTATCATATGGGACTCTAATGTCTCTTCTGAGACCTGAAAAAATTTATTTCCTTACCAAATATTATCATATGGGACTCTAATGTCTCTTCTGAGACCTGAAAAAATTTATTTCCTTACCAAATATTATCATATGGGACTCTAATGTCTCTTCTGAGACCTAAAAAAATTTATTTCCTTACCAAATATTATCATATGGGACTCTAATGTCTTTTCTAAGACCTGAAAAAATTTATTTCCTTACCAAATATTATCATATGGGACTCTAATGTCTCTTCTGAGACTTGAAAAAATTTATTTCCTTACCAAATATTATCATATGGGACTCTAATGTCTCTTCTGAGTCTTGAAAAAACGGACAAAATATAACAATTAAAATCAAAGAACAAACTGTTTATTTACCCTCCAATAATGATGTCCGAAAAACCGTAATCGAAGCTGGATATAAAAACAAAAAGTTCATTGAAGTGAGTTGATAAAGACTTCAAATAGAAATTCTTAGGGTTTGTATTATGCAAACCGGTGGGGCAATAGTTTAAAGAGGTTCCTTAGATTTTCATTAGGGAAATATGAGTTAACCCTAAATTTGAGAAAATATTGATAATCTAGCCTTTTTTAATTTTAAGGTTATACACCTGCTTTATCTTGGTTGGCCTGAAAATGACGTGCCTTTTTCGCCTTCTTCATTCTGCCAGTTCAATAAATATATTCGAGATCTTGCTGAAAGTCGTAAATGTACAGTTTTTTGTCATTGTAGTGCTGGCGTAGGTCAGTTTTTGTGTTTGTGTTTAACCAATTTAAAATAAAATTTTAAAGGGCGTAGTGGAACTTTTGCAGGAGTTCAATTGGCAATTCAAACATTAATTAAATTAAATCGAGAAGTACAAATTGCTACAATTTTTCTATGGCTTCGTGATCAGCGGGCGTGCTCTGTACAAACTGATCTGCAAGTGATTTCCTTTTTGAAAAATTCAAAAAATAAAATTTATTTTTAGTATTTGTTCATTCATCGAGCAGTTATAGAAGAAGCAATAAATTGTGGATTACTTGGAAAGAATAATAAAAAAGTCAGCGCCTTCATTCATGAATATGATCAACTCGTAAAGCGAAAACGTGAAGAACGAAGAATTTTAATGGAGAAAATTCGTGGTGATAAGTGAACAACATATTTGCTCTTGTGTATTTAATTCCATTTGTCTTATTTCTATAAGCTTAATTTGTATCCGTTGTATATATTCCTTACTATAAGCTTAATTTGTATCCGTTGTATATATCCCTTACTATAAGCTTAATTTGTATCCGTTGTATATATTCCTTATTCCATTACAAATGTTGTATGGTATTTTTATGTATCCTATTAATTTATGAGCTTGTGTATATGTCCGTATCCCTTTATTGATGGAAATATATATTTATTTAATTACCCCTACACAACTATTAAATTCTGCTTAAAGTATTTTTTATATTTTTGGTAAATGTCTTCTGTATTGTCGAACAGTTTAGGGCAAGTTTTATTTTTTATTTTTCTTTTCAAAGAATATTTTAAAAACCTTCCCGAGTATTTTTCTTTATATTTTGGCATTCTGTTTTAAATGAGGCCGCCAAAATTACTCATTTGGGGAAAAAGTCCTCTCACATGTTTTTTTGGCCTTTTCCTTTTTTTCGAATTCAGCTCGGTTCCGTTCTTTAATTTAAAACTACGTAAATCCTCTTCATTTAGGAAAATCTTTTTAGGAAAAAATTTAATAAAGAAAGCCGAGGCTCTTTCAAATTTTAATTTCTTTTTAATTTTAGGATCTCAACAACAGTAATTATACTTGTGATGAGTTAACTCCAAGTTCGATTATAAAATGGCCAGCTGTGCATCTGATTAGTATTGATTCGATCAAAGACGTCAAAATTGGTGTTGGAATCGAGAATTCTGTGGATGGTGTGCTCACTGTTGGAATTATTTTGCAAATAAAGGAAGAGGGAGTAATTACTGGAATTAATGAATGTTGTAGTTCTGGAAAGAAATCTGCGCTTTAAGCTTAAAAATGTTGATTTGGTTGTTAAACGAAGCGTTATGATGGCAAATTTAATGTTGATGAGGTAATTTGTATTTGTTATACAGGGGGATCTCTTCCTAAGATTTACTCAGTAATTTTAAGCTGGGGTCTCCTCTAAGAGCACCTCCATTTAATAGACGTCTTTAAATTTCGGGTTGGCCACTGAGTGTGAGAGTTGCCTAATGAAGTTGGAAGGGACGGAGAAACTGTCTAATTGCTACCCTCTATTTAAGACACCCCACCTTTTTCAACCCCAAGGGTGTACCTTATAATGTAATCTGACTTAAAATTTTCTTTATTTTTCAAAAAGAATATTGAACGTCTCGTTTTGGAAGTCAAGCCATTCAGTCGTCTGCCCACATCTTCTTGGAAAGCTCTAATTCAAGCGCGTTTATATGTTGCGGAATATGGTGGTTCTTTTCGTTTGGTGATGGGGGAAGTGTTTGAATTGTCAACAAATAGTTCTAGGGTTTCCGAAGTGCTTTAATGCCCATAGATTTCGACATCTATTTCGTCATCTAGGGTTTCCGAAGTGCCCTAAAGGCCATAGATTTCGACATCTATTTCGTCATCTAGGGTTTCCGAAGTGCTTTAATGCCCATAGATTTCGACATCTATTTCGTCATCTAGAGTTTCCGAAGTGCCCTAAAGGCCATAGATTTCGACATCTATTTCGTCATCTAGGGTTTCCGAAGTGCCCTAATGCCCATAGATTTCGACATCTATTTCGTCATCTAGGGTTTCCGAAGTGCTTTAATGCCCATAGATTTCGACATCTATTTCGTCATCTAGGGTTTCCGAAGTGCCCTAAAGGCCATAGATTTCGACATCTATTTCGTCATCTAGGGTTTCCGAAGTGCTTTAATGCCCATAGATTTCGACATCTATTTCGTCATCTAGAGTTTCCGAAGTGCCCTAAAGGCCATAGATTTCGACATCTATTTCGTCATCTAGGGTTTCCGAAGTGCTTTAATGCCCATAGATTTCGACATCTATTTCGTCATCTAGGGTTTCCGAAGTGCCCTAAAGGCCATAGATTTCGACATCTATTTCGTCATCTAGGGTTTCCGAAGTGCTTTAATGCCCATAGATTTCGACATCTATTTCGTCATCTAGAGTTTCCGAAGTGCCCTAAAGGCCATAGATTTCGACATCTATTTCGTCATCTAGGGTTTCCGAAGTGCCCTAATGCCCATAGATTTCGACATCTATTTCGTCATCTAGGGTTTCCGAAGTGCTTTAATGCCCATAGATTTCGACATCTATTTCGTCATCTAGGGTTTCCGAAGTGCCCTAAAGGCCATAGATTTCGACATCTATTTCGTCATCTAGGGTTTCCGAAGTGCTTTAATGCCCATAGATTTCGACATCTATTTCGTCATCTAGAGTTTCCGAAGTGCCCTAAAGGCCATAGATTTCGACATCTATTTCGTCATCTAGGGTTTCCGAAGTGCTTTAATGCCCATAGATTTCGACATCTATTTCGTCATCTAGGGTTTCCGAAGTGCTTTAATGCCCATAGATTTCGACATCTATTTCGTCATCTAGAGTTTCCGAAGTGCCCTAAAGGCCATAGATTTCGACATCTATTTCGTCATCTAGGGTTTCCGAAGTGCCCTAATGCCCATAGATTTCGACATCTATTTCGTCATCTAGGGTTTCCGAAGTGCCCTAATGCCCATAGATTTCGACATCTATTTCGTCATCTAGGGTTTCCGAAGTGCTTTAATGCCCATAGATTCGACATCTATTTCGTCATCTAGGGTTTCCGAAGTGCCCTAATGCCCATAGATTTCGACATCTATTTCGTCATCTAGGGTTTCCGAAGTGCTTTAATGCCCGTAGATTTCGACATCTATTTCGTCATCTAGAGTTTCCGAAGTGCCCTAAAGGCCATAGATTTCGACATCTATTTCGTCATCTAGGGTTTCCGAAGTGCCCTAATGCCCATAGATTTCGACATCTATTTCGTCATCTAGGGTTTCCGAAGTGCCCTAATGCCCGTAGATTTCGACATCTATTTCGTCATCGCCCTAATGCCCATAGATTTCGACATCTATTTCGTCATCTAGGGTTTCCGAAGTGTATACGAACAAAAACATAAATGTTATACGAACAAAAACATAAATGTTATACGAACAAAAACATAAATGTTATACGAACTAAAACATAAATGTCCAGTGCCTGGTTTTGATAGTCCATATGAAGCAAGTAATCCATTCAACGCCAGCATTGAATTGGATAATAAAAAATTTATTTATGTAAATATTGGAATTCTACAAGCGAATGAATGTTTGGAAAAATTTGCGGGATGTGTGATGGATCTGGTAAATTTTCTTGAAAAATGAGGGTTAAGAGTTGTAGGCAAACGTTTATCAGTAAACTCCTGTCAGTGATTGTTAGGCAATGGCTCACCACGTTCAGTAGGTGCCTGAACTGCCTTAGAGGACGACACTGGTTTCTCACTCGCTTTTAGATTTTTAAGTGATACCAGTTAAATTTTCCTTTTTTACTTAGCTGTCAAGCGATGGTTCTTCTAACAATAAGTCATATTTTTCAAAATTTAAAAAAAAGATTCAAAAGCTCCAAAATTAATTAAAATTTTCTCTAATTTTATAGGAATGAAATATGGTCAATTAAAACTTCGTCCAATAATTTCTTCCAATTTGAAAGCAGAAATGGAATATAATCAACTTCGTTTAGAGCAAGTTCTCTCTCCTTTGTTGGCGCTTATGTATGGGACTGGAGACAATGTACCTAACAATTTAATTCGTTCTTGTCTTATATTTGCTTGTGACCATGGAATGAAAAAAATTGTTAAGGAATTGGAAGAGGTCTGGAAAGAAGATTTTTTTGTTTTTTTAATTTATTTTTTAATATAGATGATTTGTAATGAATTAATTACTGGACCTAATATTCTGCTTAATCATTTCCAATTTGCTGAGAGATATCATTTGAAGAATTTGGAACGCTTTTCTCTGTGGCAATTGGAATGTGAAGAGTAAATAAATTTAATTAACGTTGGTCATCGGTATAAGATACACCCTTGGGGCTGAATAAATACTCTTATAATGGGGTTGTCTCTTAGATGGAGGGTTTCCCAATCGAGTGGTCTACCCAGTTTATAATAACGTATATTAAATAGAGGTTTCTCTAATATTGGGGGTACCGGTCGGCAAACTTTTAGGAAGTTTCTTAAACTGGGGGGTGTATCGTATCTATTTATCTTATAATAAGGTTCGATTCAAATTCTTGATTTATTTTTTAAGGTATCACAAATTAGGCCTTGCACTGCTCGAATTAGAAGATTACAACAAACTTGGAAAAAATATGCGATATAATATTGAGGATCGTCTTTGTAGTGGTTGGGGTGTTTATAACAAATCTTTGGCTAAACGGTAAATTTTTTAATCTAATTCAAAAAAATTTTTTTTATTTTTGAAGTGAAAAGAGTGGAATTATTCGTTTTGTGTTAAACACCCAATCTTGTGAGCCTGAAACTGCTTCAGTCAAAAACGATGATTTTTGCACTGTGGCGACAGAAAACGAGGCTGAATTCGATGCTTACCAGCAAGAGCTTGGTACTGAAGTATAGAGAAATAGGAACATTAAGAAAATAAAATTTTTAAATAAATATAATTATTGTATAGGTGTTTAATTAAATAATATTGTAATTCTTTTTTCATGGTTTTAAATTAGCCTGTATATTTTTATATACTTTTATTTCAAGTATTTTTTAATTTAAAACCCCGTAGTTTTAAAGTCTCTTCCCAATTCAAACCCCAAAATATCTAAAAATGTTTGTTGGACATATTCTTTTGGTTAGTTATCTTCTATCAATTTGCTTTATTCAAATTGCTGCTTCCAACGACAACGAATCAGGCAAAGAGGAGATAATTTCCCCAATAATTATTGTTGGAATATTGGTTCTCTTGTAAGTTGAAATTTTAAGATTTTTATAAAAGAATTATTTTTTCTTTCCTTCAGGGGTATTTGTGTTGGCTCTATAATTGGCTACTTCTATGTCCGCCATAACCGGAAGAAATCTGATGAGGATGAAGATGATGAAGAATTCAATTCCAATAATTTTAGTAGAATTTACTTTGCTGAATGGAAGGAGGTAAATTGATAAATAATTTATTATCTTATATTCATAAAATATAGTTTTAGTAGTTGGGTTAACTGGGGAGTTTTTGAAATTTCTAGAAATTTTATTAAGGGGATATTAATAAATATATAAATGATTTTTAACCAGTTTTAAAGGGTCTTCATAATGAATTAACTCGAAGTGTGCGCCATTCAGAAAAAGAAGGTTAAAGAAATTTAAAATAATTTTAGAGAATTTTTTTGAAATTTTTGTTTAGTTAGAGTTTTTTGTTTTTTTTTGTTTTTCGGGTTTTTTTGAAAATTTGATTTTTTGTTAATAAAATGTGTTTAATTCTTGCTGTGCTTGCTACTCATTATAATCCCGTGCCTTTTGCTTAAATGCATAGTGCAATGCTTACATTTATAGGGTATTTTTGTTAAATATTTTCTAAAACTTAAGAAAAGGGCAAACGTTTATTTAAACAGGTATTATTGAAGAGTACAGACCCCATTTTTTACTCCCTATCTTTTTTGGCGTGGCCTGTACGCCTAAAGCTGACCAGTGATTTGTTATCGCTTCTACAAAAAATTGGAGCAAATAAATGTATCTATGGGAATTAGGGCACTTCGGAAGACCTAGATGACGAAATATATGGGGCTTATTTGTTAAAATTTAGCTATTGGAATAGAAACAATTTGCAAATTAAATTTAAAATTATTTTATTATTTTTTACAAATTTATTTAAATTATTAAAAAAGATTTTTGAATAAGCTTTCTTTCTTTACCCAATGGGCAAAAATAAAATATCGTATATCCTGTAATAACTACCCTGGTTATTGTGTCTACTCAGTTCGATTTTTCTCGATATATCTCGTGAAATTACTACTTATGACCCTCCCAGTCTCGTCTAAATAATAAGAGAGACTAAGACTTGCCCCCGTAACTAGAGACCGGACTGAGATGATATCTCAAGCAAAATCGTGTTATTATATGAGAGATATGTATGCCATTTTTTATATGCCGTCGCCCTCTTGTTTGAATCACAGTTATTATTTTCTTCTACATGTCAATCATTTATCTTCCTCATAAAATGCTTCTCTTAAGTAAACGAATTGCCCGATAAAAAAAAAATATACATAAATTATTATTCAAAGAAAATATCAAGCGAAAAAAGAGGGCGAGGATTATTTTTACTGAAAAAAAATTTTTTTATTGAGAAGAATAACAAAATTTCTCAACTAAAAATAATGTACGTATATCTTTTATTAATAAAATTGGAAGAATACTTAAAATTAAAATTAAATTTTAAAAATTATTTTTATTCATTAGGTATTTAATATTTAAAACAAAATTTTTTAAAATTTATTTATTTAAATGATTGGTGTATTTTGATACTACGGGCAGGTAATTAAAATAAAAATTAAAAAATTAAAACTAGATTGATTTACTCTCTCAAATTAAAGTTAGATCCTTCCAAATAGTCTGATCTCAATACTACCTAGCAAGGACGATTCGGTATCAAGACCATATTTTGGGCCATAACTTTCTTAATTTGCCTGATTCGAGTAGTTCTCATATCATTCGAAAGGTCTTGAGATGCGGCATTTATTTAATATTGAAATTCTACTGAAAATTCTACAGAAAATTAGAGCCAAATAAAGTCGAAAATCTCTAATGTCTCTTCTGAGACTTGAAAAAATTTATTTCCTTACCAAATATTATCATATGGGACTCTAATGTCTCTTCTGAGACCTGAAAAAATTTATTTCCTTACCAAATATTATCATATGGGACTCTAATGTCTCTTCTGAGACCTGAAAAAATTTATTTCCTTACCAAATATTATCATATGGGACTCTAATGTCTCTTCTGAGACCTGAAAAAATTTATTTCCTTACCAAATATTATCATATGGGACTCTAATGTCTCTTCTGAGACCTGAAAAAATTTATTTCCTTACCAAATATTATCATATGGGACTCTAATGTCTCTTCTGAGACCTGAAAAAATTTATTTCCTTACCAAATATTATCATATGGGACTTTAATGTCTCTTCTGAGACTTGAAAAAATTTATTTCCTTACCAAATATTATCATATGGGACTCTAATGTCTCTTCTGAGACCTGAAAAAATTTATTTCCTTAACAAATATTATCATATGGGACTCTAATGTCTCTTCTGAGACCTAAAAAAATTTATTTCCTTACCAAATATTATCATATGGGACTCTAATGTCTTTTCTAAGACCTGAAAAAATTTATTTCCTTACCAAATATTATCATATGGGACTCTAATGTCTCTTCTGAGACTTGAAAAAATTTATTTCCTTACCAAATATTATCATATGGGACTCTAATGTCTCTTCTGAGTCTTGAAAAAATTTATTTCCTTACCAAATATTATCATATGGGACTCTAATGTCTTTTCTAAGACCTGAAAAAATTTATTTCCTTACCAAATATTATCATATGGGACTCTAATGTCTCTTCTGAGACTTGAAAAAATTTATTTCCTTACCAAATATTATCATATGGGACTCTAATGTCTCTTCTGAGACTTGAAAAAATTTATTTCCTTACCAAATATTATCATATGGGACTCTAATGTCTCTTCTGAGACTTGAAAAAATTTATTTCCTTACCAAATATTATCATATGGGACTCTAATGTCTCTTTTGAGATATTCGGCTGTGATCTTTTGTACTATTCGGCTGTGATCTTTTGTAGAATGATCAAAGCAATCCTGATAACTAAATAATCCGCAATTTAGAGCTTTGATTGATCAGAAAAGTTATGGCCCAAAAATGACCTCAATACCTAATCAGCGATAATCAGTGAGTCGTCCCCCACCCCAAGTTTACATACTCTAATTAGAACCGTCCATGACTCTTGATCTTGAGTCTTATGTTGGAGGTTCTTTTTCTTGGTCTTGGGATGACGTCTTGGTCTCGAGCTTTTGAAATATACACTCCTAAAGATGAGTGAAAATCTTCGGTCTTGGAAAGCTCCACTCCTAAAGATGCACCTCAAATTTATGATATTTTTTAAAATTTTATTTGAATATTGGTTGAGTAGAGAGATAATTTTGTCTTTTGTGTTGCTATTATGTATCAAGAAAAATTGTTAAAAATACATATTTAATGTTCGTAAAAGCAGACTAAAACTTAGTATAAAAACAAATAATTTTTCCCTAATAAACATTCCTGTTAGCAAACTTCTTCACTTTTATTATTCAATTGAGCTGCTTTGCGTGTTTGTTTTACAAGTATTTGGCAATTTTTTTTTGGCGTATTGTTCGTTGCTCAATATTCTGTTCGTTTAAACCCTGGTTACGCTTCAAGTGTTTTTGGCAAATTTGTTGGTTCTCGTGTACTTTCTTGGAAATTTGTTACTCGGACGATGAAAGACCATAAACAACAAGAGGAAAGGGAATGCGGGAAGAAAAAGGCCAGTTTGAAAAGTGAAATAAAACAGTCTTTTTTTTAATTTTTAGAATGCGGGTGATGATGTTCAAAAAAAAATTGCCTTAGAAAGGAAATATTATGTACCAATGCAACTTGTCCAAAACGAAGAACAGAACAATGCACCTCAAAATAAAGGAGTTAAAGGATGGTTCGAAAGTAAGTTAGGTTTACTAAAGATAAAGTGACCATCCTAAAATAAATCTGAGTTTTTCCGCGAGAACTTTTGTTCCTTTAAAACAATGCGGGAATGGTCACATCCTCTTTAATTCTTGAATTACTGTTACTTTAAAATTTTTATTTTAAGCTATTGGAAATCGTGGAGGAATACCAACTATCAGGGAACAGTTTGTACGTGAATTGGAAAATTATGAATGTATATCTGCTACTACAAAAGAATATAAACAAGCCAAACATTACGACCTTCAGCATTATGTTGACGTTCCATTGATCGACAAGAATAGAGTTAAAGTCAAAAAGGGATTTAAAGGTGATTAACCTTATGTTTAAACAAAAAATCCTTAATATTTCAGGTATTGACTTTTACCATGCTAATTTCATTACTGGTGGATGTTACCCTCTCATTTGTGGTCAGGGGCCAATAAATAAATCAACTTATCAATTTTGGGCATTGGTCATTGAGCAAAATTGCGGTGTAAGTATTCTGATTTTAAGTCTGCCTAATAGGAAAAATCTTTAAATTCAGGTCGTCGTTCAACTCTGTAAAGATAATGAAGGGGGCGAAATCAAATGCGGAAATTATCTAAATAGTGGAACAACGAAGTACGGACAAAATATAACAATTAAAATCAAAGAACAAACTGTTTATTTACCCTCCAATAATGATGTCCGAAAAACCGTAATCGAAGCTGGATATAAAAACAAAAAGTTCATTGAAGTGAGTTGATAAAGACTTCAAATAGAAATTCTTAGGGTTTGTATTATGCAAACCGGTGGGGCAATAGTTTAAAGAGGTTCCTTAGATTTTCATTAGGGAAATATGAGTTAACCCTAAATTTGAGAAAATATTGATAATCTAGCCTTTTTTAATTTTAAGGTTATACACCTGCTTTATCTTGGTTGGCCTGAAAATGACGTGCCTTTTTCGCCTTCTTCATTCTGCCAGTTCAATAAATATATTCGAGATCTTGCTGAAAGTCGTAAATGTACAGTTTTTTGTCATTGTAGTGCTGGCGTAGGTCAGTTTTTGTGTTTGTGTTTAACCAATTTAAAATAAAATTTTAAAGGGCGTAGTGGAACTTTTGCAGGAGTTCAATTGGCAATTCAAACATTAATTAAATTAAATCGAGAAGTACAAATTGCTACAATTTTTCTATGGCTTCGTGATCAGCGGGCGTGCTCTGTACAAACTGATCTGCAAGTGATTTCCTTTTTGAAAAATTCAAAAAATAAAATTTATTTTTAGTATTTGTTCATTCATCGAGCAGTTATAGAAGAAGCAATAAATTGTGGATTACTTGGAAAGAATAATAAAAAAGTCAGCGCCTTCATTCATGAATATGATCAACTCGTAAAGCGAAAACGTGAAGAACGAAGAATTTTAATGGAGAAAATTCGTGGTGATAAGTGAACAACATATTTGCTCTTGTGTATTTAATTCCATTTGTCTTATTTCTATAAGCTTAATTTGTATCCGTTGTATATATTCCTTACTATAAGCTTAATTTGTATCCGTTGTATATATCCCTTACTATAAGCTTAATTTGTATCCGTTGTATATATTCCTTATTCCATTACAAATGTTGTATGGTATTTTTATGTATCCTATTAATTTATGAGCTTGTGTATATGTCCGTATCCCTTTATTGATGGAAATATATATTTATTTAATTACCCCTACACAACTATTAAATTCTGCTTAAAGTATTTTTTATATTTTTGGTAAATGTCTTCTGTATTGTCGAACAGTTTAGGGCAAGTTTTATTTTTTATTTTTCTTTTCAAAGAATATTTTAAAAACCTTCCCGAGTATTTTTCTTTATATTTTGGCATTCTGTTTTAAATGAGGCCGCCAAAATTACTCATTTGGGGAAAAAGTCCTCTCACATGTTTTTTTGGCCTTTTCCTTTTTTTCGAATTCAGCTCGGTTCCGTTCTTTAATTTAAAACTACGTAAATCCTCTTCATTTAGGAAAATCTTTTTAGGAAAAAATTTAATAAAGAAAGCCGAGGCTCTTTCAAATTTTAATTTCTTTTTAATTTTAGGATCTCAACAACAGTAATTATACTTGTGATGAGTTAACTCCAAGTTCGATTATAAAATGGCCAGCTGTGCATCTGATTAGTATTGATTCGATCAAAGACGTCAAAATTGGTGTTGGAATCGAGAATTCTGTGGATGGTGTGCGCACTGTTGGAATTATTTTGCAAATAAATGAAGAGGGAGTAATTACTGGAATTAATGAATGTTGTAGTTCTGGAAAGAAATCTGCGCTTTAAGCTTAAAAATGTTGATTTGGTTGTTAAACGAAGCGTTATGATGGCAAATTTAATGTTGATGAGGTAATTTGTATTTGTTATACAGGGGGATCTCTTCCTAAGATTTACTCAGTAATTTTAAGCTGGGGTCTCCTCTAAGAGCACCTCCATTTAATAGACGTCTTTAAATTTCGGGTTGGCCACTGAGTGTGAGAGTTGCCTAATGAAGTTGGAAGGGACGGAGAAACTGTCTAATTGCTACCCTCTATTTAAGACACCCCACCTTTTTCAACCCCAAGGGTGTACCTTATAATGTAATCTGACTTAAAATTTTCTTTATTTTTCAAAAAGAATATTGAACGTCTCGTTTTGGAAGTCAAGCCATTCAGTCGTCTGCCCACATCTTCTTGGAAAGCTCTAATTCAAGCGCGTTTATATGTTGCGGAATATGGTGGTTCTTTTCGTTTGGTGATGGGGGAAGTGTTTGAATTGTCAACAAATAGTTCTAGGGTTTCCGAAGTGCTTTAATGCCCATAGATTTCGACATCTATTTCGTCATCTAGGGTTTCCGAAGTGCTTTAATGCCCATAGATTTCGACATCTATTTCGTCATCTAGGGTTTCCGAAGTGCCCTAAAGGCCATAGATTTCGACATCTATTTCGTCATCTAGGGTTTCCGAAGTGCTTTAATGCCCATAGATTTCGACATCTATTTCGTCATCTAGAGTTTCCGAAGTGCCCTAAAGGCCATAGATTTCGACATCTATTTCGTCATCTAGGGTTTCCGAAGTGCCCTAATGCCCATAGATTTCGACATCTATTTCGTCATCTAGGGTTTCCGAAGTGCTTTAATGCCCATAGATTTCGACATCTATTTCGTCATCTAGGGTTTCCGAAGTGCCCTAAAGGCCATAGATTTCGACATCTATTTCGTCATCTAGGGTTTCCGAAGTGCTTTAATGCCCATAGATTTCGACATCTATTTCGTCATCTAGAGTTTCCGAAGTGCCCTAAAGGCCATAGATTTCGACATCTATTTCGTCATCTAGGGTTTCCGAAGTGCTTTAATGCCCATAGATTTCGACATCTATTTCGTCATCTAGGGTTTCCGAAGTGCTTTAATGCCCATAGATTTCGACATCTATTTCGTCATCTAGAGTTTCCGAAGTGCCCTAAAGGCCATAGATTTCGACATCTATTTCGTCATCTAGGGTTTCCGAAGTGCCCTAATGCCCATAGATTTCGACATCTATTTCGTCATCTAGGGTTTCCGAAGTGCCCTAAAGGCCATAGATTTCGACATCTATTTCGTCATCTAGGGTTTCCGAAGTGCCCTAATGCCCATAGATTTCGACATCTATTTCGTCATCTAGGGTTTCCGAAGTGCTTTAATGCCCATAGATTTCGACATCTATTTCGTCATCTAGGGTTTCCGAAGTGCCCTAAAGGCCATAGATTTCGACATCTATTTCGTCATCTAGGGTTTCCGAAGTGCTTTAATGCCCATAGATTTCGACATCTATTTCGTCATCTAGAGTTTCCGAAGTGCCCTAAAGGCCATAGATTTCGACATCTATTTCGTCATCTAGGGTTTCCGAAGTGCTTTAATGCCCATAGATTTCGACATCTATTTCGTCATCTAGGGTTTCCGAAGTGCTTTAATGCCCATAGATTTCGACATCTATTTCGTCATCTAGAGTTTCCGAAGTGCCCTAAAGGCCATAGATTTCGACATCTATTTCGTCATCTAGGGTTTCCGAAGTGCCCTAATGCCCATAGATTTCGACATCTATTTCGTCATCTAGGGTTTCCGAAGTGCCCTAATGCCCATAGATTTCGACATCTATTTCGTCATCTAGGGTTTCCGAAGTGCTTTAATGCCCATAGATTCGACATCTATTTCGTCATCTAGGGTTTCCGAAGTGCCCTAATGCCCATAGATTTCGACATCTATTTCGTCATCTAGGGTTTCCGAAGTGCTTTAATGCCCGTAGATTTCGACATCTATTTCGTCATCTAGAGTTTCCGAAGTGCCCTAAAGGCCATAGATTTCGACATCTATTTCGTCATCTAGGGTTTCCGAAGTGCCCTAATGCCCATAGATTTCGACATCTATTTCGTCATCTAGGGTTTCCGAAGTGCCCTAATGCCCGTAGATTTCGACATCTATTTCGTCATCGCCCTAATGCCCATAGATTTCGACATCTATTTCGTCATCTAGGGTTTCCGAAGTGTATACGAACAAAAACATAAATGTTATACGAACAAAAACATAAATGTTATACGAACAAAAACATAAATGTTATACGAACTAAAACATAAATGTCCAGTGCCTGGTTTTGATAGTCCATATGAAGCAAGTAATCCATTCAACGCCAGCATTGAATTGGATAATAAAAAATTTATTTATGTAAATATTGGAATTCTACAAGCGAATGAATGTTTGGAAAAATTTGCGGGATGTGTGATGGATCTGGTAAATTTTCTTGAAAAATGAGGGTTAAGAGTTGTAGGCAAACGTTTATCAGTAAACTCCTGTCAGTGATTGTTAGGCAATGGCTCACCACGTTCAGTAGGTGCCTGAACTGCCTTAGAGGACGACACTGGTTTCTCACTCGCTTTTAGATTTTTAAGTGATACCAGTTAAATTTTTCTTTTTTACTTAGCTGTCAAGCGATGGTTCTTCTAACAATAAGTCATATTTTTCAAAATTTAAAAAAAAGATTCAAAAGCTCCAAAATTAATTAAAATTTTCTCTAATTTTATAGGAATGAAATATGGTCAATTAAAACTTCGTCCAATAATTTCTTCCAATTTGAAAGCAGAAATGGAATATAATCAACTTCGTTTAGAGCAAGTTCTCTCTCCTTTGTTGGCGCTTATGTATGGGACTGGAGACAATGTACCTAACAATTTAATTCGTTCTTGTCTTATATTTGCTTGTGACCATGGAATGAAAAAAATTGTTAAGGAATTGGAAGAGGTTTGGAAAAAAATTTGTTTTTAAAGTTATTTTTCAATATAGATGATTTGTAATGAGTTAATTACTGGACCTAATATTCTGCTTAATCATTTCCAATTTGCTGAGAGATATCATTTGAAGAATTTGGAACGCTTTTCTCTGTGGCAATTGGAATGTGAAGAGTAAATAAATTTATTAACGTTGGACCTCGGTATAAGATACACCCTTGGGGCTGAATAAATACTCTTATAATGG